CCTATAACATTTTGTTGAAGTAATAAACAAAATATTAAATAATAAATTGTTTAAATAATAAACCAATCAAATGGTAATAAGTGATACAAATTTAAGATTTTTATTGATATACTCTCTCTATTAAATGTATACTGATGGAATTATACTGAAAGCAATTATGGAAATGAAAATTGTGCAGTTTGAGGCCATTGAGCAGAAGGGGAAGATTGAAAAATCGACTCTCCTACTCGTAAAGACAAAATTAGATTGAAGAAGAAACCGTCTCAGCAAATACGTCGCTTTATCTCTTCTAAAACACGATTTGGAACGTTATGTATTAACAATGATATCGCTCTTAAAAACGATCTGATATATAATGAAATTAATTGTGGTGAATTTAAAGATTTGGTAAAGTTATGAAACTTAGGATTGACGTTAATTTGATGTTTTGACGTTATCAATCAATCCTTTTTTTGATCAACCGTGAATACAACTTACGTTGTACAGTAAAATAAAAGCTTAAGATCTACTACTAAAGTAGTTAAAAATAATATCTGTGGTATTTCAGACTGGTCATTAATAATAATCTAACGATAATACTTTATGTCAGATATACTGCGATAAGCAGTTTTCATGAATGAACTGAATTCAACTATTCACTTAGAGGAAAAAGAGGAGAGGAAAAAGTGTATGAAACACCTGCAGCTGTATCATCAATTCTGGGATGATAATGGAAGAAATCACTAGGATTTCATGTAGCCCAACAGAGCATGGTGATTTTGCAAAAGTCAACTAAATCATTTATTAAATATATACATAAAATCATCAGGCAATAGTCAGAAATCTGAAGTTTATTACTAAAATATCTAAGATGCATGAATGAAACTTATTTCAGAATATTAGACTTGATTAGGTAAAATCAGAACTGGCAGATACAGAGCATATTAATTTGGTCAACTGGATAAGAGCTGTCTTTAGGCCAACACAACCATCTTGAAATGATATAATTGAGTATAAGTGTTAGAAGAAAATTTTACTTGAACAATTACATATTCACTGTTTGAGAAGATTCATCTTCATAGGTCTTCAACACGCACTCAACGATAGTTGGAAACAGATTTGTAATGAAATGCTATAAGCTTGATACAGCTTGGATCGTTTAGATACATATATTTGCATAGCAAATAATTTTAAAATTAGTGACTAAAGAGATAAAAATTTATATGAACTTCTATGTTAACATGCATGTATTTATACTATAAAGTAACAGAATTAATTTTATCAACAAAATACAATAGCTTTATAATGAAACACATGTTCAATGTGAAAATTTTTGTTATTTTAATTTGTATTGTCTATGAATTATATATTTGTATATATACAATATAAGGATAGTTCTAAGATATTATATCAATTATATAAAGTTATAACTTTTTAAGTTATTGTGCATAATGTAACTTAGATTATTGATTATTGTTTCATAAAACATATTAATATTTTAATCTTATGTTTGTATAAAAGAATTAAATTTCCCAGAAATAATCTTATATACAATTGAAAATATTTTGTGCTCATGTGATGTAAAGAGTGTGACGTTGTGATCATCCGATATTACGTCATCGTTATCCCCTTCCTCTTTTGCAACCGGCGCTCATTCTATCGTGACATGTTGGAGTACATTTATATATTAGAAGTGACATATTCATTGTGTGAAGTTACTTACAGTTTTCAACTGACCGTGTTTTAATTTGCAATTATTATTTCCTTCAATAACCGAGAAGTGTATCTGTCTTTTTAAAAACGTATGTGGCTTATATCACAAAAGTCGAATTATATCTAAACCACGTTTTGCGCGCGTTTTATAAAAATACTATTTTTGTATCGATAAATTATCTCACGATGATTTTCTACATATAGAATATCAATAATTTTAACTAACGAAAATTAATTGACCATATTAATTAATTTCTATACAATATTAATATTGAAATTGTATAACATTTAACAAAATAAATTGTTTCTGTCGGAACTTAACATGTTCCTTCCAATACTTCATTAATACTACTCAATGTTAAAGAAATTTGGTTAATTTTAATAATTACTCTCAAGAATTGATGTTTATCAATTTTGCAGATAATTTTTACATTCATAATAAAGATGAAAATAATAAAAAATTCCAGTTGAGAATAATTTAGAGCATAAATTTCGATAGTTCTATTTCTGATAATTGTGCAAACGAAACTAGATTTAAATAAAGATATCGGTATGGCTTCTTGCCCTCGTTCGTAATTCCCTGTACTCTATATAGAACTCACGTACGTACAAACCCATATTATTTAAACCTGGGGTTCATAGTACTGTTATTCCACCCCTGGTTGCATACTAAATGCATGGAATGCGCAGAATGTCCACGAGAAGTGTTGTGGCGGGTCTCTGCTGCATCAGCCGTTAAGTAGTGTATTATGCTAACATAAAATGTGAAATTTCTCTAACTATTTTTACGAGTTCGTTTCTCAAGTTTTGCCATAAAAGTCACGCGAAAAGGTTCCAAATCTTACGTTCAATAAATTTTTAACGGAACTCTTCGATTTTTCGTCATATCCTATTACTTATCATTGTAGTCAGTCATAGTGTGTAAAAAGACGTGAAATTAGGGCGTGAAAAGGTTTGTTCAATTGGAATTCTCGCAAAAGTTTAAAAAGAAAATATACGCAAAGATAGACAATACATGTAACGATCTATTCTAGAAAGTTGGGTGATTTCACTCTACAAGTTTATTAAATAATTAAATTATTACTAATGTTGTAAACATTGTACGTATCATTCGTTGTTTCTGGTTATATTTTGTTTTATGCATTCATCTTTTCTAACCTTAAAACATATTTTAACAATATGCTAGTATTTTGCAGGAAATAAATGCATATCTCTGAAATTTTTTTGAATAATAATATGTAATAACATCAGATATGACTGGTTCAGAATTAATTCTGCACATGTCTGTTTGTTCCCTGAAGATAATGCGACACAATATTCACAAATATTTTATAAACAATGATTTGTAATTCTAAAACTATAGTAATGACATTGATCAGTAATTTTAAGATAACTAACGAAAATCAGGTAAACTTCTATCAATTTATGTGTAAATCATTAATTAATCTATATAAATTTATATAATCTATATAATTTATCTATATAAATATTATTAGAAATAATCAAAATATTTGTTAAAATGAATTTAAATAATGCTAATTTTATCCTTGGTATTATAATTTTATGAAGTACTGTCTTAAAAACTATGCAAATATATTTTTATTTTGCTCTAATATAGTATCAATGACCAAATGTGTACATTGATTGTACAATATATTTCTATAGTTGTAATTATTTAATATGCAATCAATGTACAAATAGTTTTATCAGAGTTTATGTTTATCTTTTATTATATGCACATTAAATAAAAGATATAATATCTTTTATTTAACATTTTTTATCATTTATGATCATACTATTTTATATGTGTGTGTGTGTGTGTTAATTTTTAACGATAGAATTAATAAAAATTTTCATATTCTGTTTAATAGGATTTTTATGGCCCTAACATTGAAACAATAAAAAATGTCTAGAAAGCGTGCTAGAGAAGAAACTATGTTGAATTCTACATCTTATTCAAATATTCAAAATGGAGAAGATGCTTCGTGCTCCAGGGAAGATTCACCTGTTTATCCTGTAAGTATTACTTAATTAATATCTGTATTTAATAAACGTACTTATTAAATAAGTAAGATATTTATTTAGATTACTTTATCATTTAATTGTTATTTTATTGATTTAACCTTTGAATATATATTGTATTCAAAATTTTATATTATAATATATGAAATCTTGTATATATATGTATATGAAATATCTTGTATTACTTATATATATAATATACATAATATATTGTGTATATTGCACGCGCGCGCGCGCATGGACACACACACACACAAAATACATAGATATATATTTATATACAGATTATATTATATATTAATACTATGGAATTAAATTTAATCATTTGGAAATAACATATTTTCTAATTTTATTTCATATAGAAACAGAAATTTTTTATAACTGTATGATGTTATCAATATATTTATGTTAATATAATATCATAAACACTTGATTACTTAAATGGTCTTGAAACATTTCATAAACAAATATATGAACATAGATTTTGAAGATACTTGTAGTGAAAAATTCAATAAATATTTACATTATATAATAATAAGTTTTTTATCAGATATTCAAATATTTTTTTAGAATATATATCAATAAAATAGATTTATGCTATATTTGATATTGAAATATAAATATAAAATATAATATTTCAGTATTAAATATAACCTAAACCTATTTTATTGATATATAAAAAGGAGTTATATATATATTCTAAAAAATATTTGAATGTCTGATGAAAACTTTAAGGTCTTTAAAAGAAATTGTATTTAAAGAAATTTAACAATATATCTGACAAAATATTCATTTATATTCTGTTTTATGAAACACATATTTTTATTAATATCAACAGCTAGTGACAATGACTTGGGGGACCGACAGGAATTCAAATAATGAATCAGGTCGAAATTCGCTGAAAAAGTATAGTAGCGAAATTTCTGTTTACCATAAAGAACTTCCAGTGAGTCGAATATATATATTTTTTTTTTTTTTTAATAATTTTACTGTTAACACACACTACAATTAGATATTTATTTTCCTTTTTTTGTTTTCAAAGCTAAATACAAATTATATTTGTATTTCTACTATAATTAAAATTTAAAAAAAATTACATACCTATCATTAAACAGGTTGTATTTTTTAAAAATAAAAAAAGTTGAGATGGTTTTATTCTTAAAGAAATTTCTTTGAACTGTATATATTTATATTCTTTCTTTCCTCTTTTTCTTTTTTATTTCATACTTTTTATTATGCTTATATTGCATACTTTTTATTATGCTTATATATTTATATTGTATCAAATTTATTACAGTCAATTTGTAAGGAAGCTCCTTTTAGTGATGATCCAGAAGCACTTGCTGAACGAAATGCATGTGATTATAACATTCGTATTACATTAAAAATGGCAAAAAATGGTAAAGGTTAGTTTGAATAGAATTAATTATTTTTGTAAGTAAAAAGTAATAAAAATTTTTAATTACTACATACATATAATATTAATAATTTGTATAATGATTTAGCTCCTAGGAAAATTAGAGTCTATGCAGATGGTATTTATGATCTGTTTCATCAAGGACATGCACGACAACTTCTACAAGCAAAAAATATTTTCCCTAATGTATATCTTATCGTAGGAGGTAAAGAAACAAATTTTACAATTGCAGAATGTAATGTAAACTTAATATAGTAAAAATAATTTTCATTGTTTTAGTTTGTAATGACCAATTAACACATAGTAAAAAGGGAAGAACAGTTATGACAGATATTGAAAGATATGATGCAGTAAGACATTGTCGCTATGTAGATGAAGTAGTTAGGGATGCACCTTGGGAACTGGATGATGAATTTCTTACAAAGCATAAAGTAAAATTAATTGTATATTATTTTTTAAGAATATTTAGCAAATGTTGAAACAGTGTATACTTAATTTTTCAGATCGACTTTGTTGCTCATGATGATATACCTTATATGACAGATGATAGTACAGATGTTTATGCAGGTTTGAAAGCTAAGGGTATGTTTGTAGCTACACAAAGAACAGAAGGAGTATCAACATCTGATATTGTTGCAAGAATAGTTAAAGATTACGATATTTATGTAAGAAGAAATCTTGCGCGAGGCTACAGTGCCAAAGAACTTAATGTTTCTTTTCTCAATGTAAGTGTATATTTTTTAAATGCAGTATTTTTTTTAAATAATACTTCAAAGAATACTTCAGAGATTTTATATAATAAGATATATAATTATAGGAAAAGAAATTTCGTTTACAAAATAAATTTGATGATCTGAAAGATAAGGGAAAACGAGTGATGGAAAATATTGGTGAGAAACGTATGGATATGATTAGCAAATGGGAAGAAAAATCACGGGACTTTATTGACGCTTTTCTCCTTTTATTTGGAAGAGAAGGTAGATTGGTGAGTAATATTTATGGAGTAATAATTTTATATTCAATATTAATAATTATTGTATTCAATATTAATAATTAATGTATTCAATATTAACAATACATTGATGCATTATAAAAGAATAAATACTTAAATTAACTCTTACATAATTGCTCATTTTATTCATAATTGCTCGATTATTCACAAGATTTTTTTGAATACAGTATGTGTTGATAGATAAAAAGGAATAATTGTAAGATCTTTCTCAAAACTTTTTATTTATAAATAATTGTTTGTATCTATCGTATATGTATTTGTAATATATTTGTGATTGAAACTAAGATTTAAAATAAAGATTAAAAAATAAGATTAAAAAATTCAAATTTTAAATGGATGTTTAATTTCTTTTTTTATAGTCAACAATTTGGAATGAAAGTAAAGGTCGTTTGATGCAAGCATTATCTCCTCCTGCAAGTCCAAAAAGAGATGGCAGTCCGAATGGCAGTAATAGCAGCAATAACGATGAAGATCAGACAAGGTACATCACAGCATTCGCGTCAATTGACTAACATGCAACACCACTTCATTCTGTACTGCTTCTGTATGAAAACCTTCACACCATCCATTTGCAGCATGTTATGTTAGTATACAATTCCACTGTTAAATACATTAGATAAATTTTAAGCAGTACGCACAATATAACCAATGCTTGTTGTGAAAATGTGTTTTATTTTTTCTTTCTTCTCTCTGTGTAAATAATATATGTATATGTATATATGTATAACTTATCTGGTATTATTACAAATATATTTCTTTATAAAAATAGATTATAAATATGAAATGTTATTTACTTGGTGCTAATAGTTTAATTTATATGGTTTATGTTGCAGTCCACCACCAAAAAAGACTGGCCGTTTTGAATACTCGCAGAGTAATTATTATTTAAGTGATGATTATAGCGACGATGAAGAAGAAAATTTACACTCCAAATGATAACTCCTTTTTTCAAAATCACATTCTTTATTTTGACCAAAAATATCGTGCAATCTCTTTAAAACTGTTCAAAGATATTTTAATGCAGCTATGTGATTTCATAATATGAATTATAATATTATGCTTAATAGTGTTTTTATGGTATGGTTTCATACTATATACAAGATAAAATTATCTGTTATAACGTTTTCATTCAATCCATGCACGGATTATTATATATTAATTAGATTATATATAGTATATGCACGAACAGAACATAGAGAAGTTATACAAATTATTTAAAACTTTCGTTGCTACTATTGAGACTTTCATTATTGTTGTATTATTAATAAGTATATTTTAAGTGATACTTTATCATTCATTTTGAGTTTCATATTATGCCACA